ACTAAATGCAACATGCGTTACAATACTACCGACTGGTATGTTCACAGTGTAGCTGTAGTTGGTGTGATTAATCAGCACATAAATCCAGATTCATTCGTCTTTGTTTTTGGTGCTGAATTTATGTTGACAGAGGTACCTTTTGTGTGTATCGGGACGATCTCGAAATCAACATGTAACTACACATATCAGTACAAAAATATAGGCTCGCCCAGATCTCATCAGGAATATTTTCTACTCGGTGTAGACACGAATGGAACTTTCGCATATGGATTTACGAGTTCTTTAGTATTTAAACTGGAAATAGCCAACAACATAATAACTGAGTTTCTAAAGATAACCACTGTCTGGCCATCTCTCGACTTTATTCCACGCGCTGTCGATGTAGCCGATTCCTGGGCCTTGGTTGCTGGCTATGGCTATCCAAACATTACGAAGGAAGACTATTCAGCTCTTGGATGTCTAATTAATCTTGCTTCGCTCACGAGTTCCTCATGCGTCATTCTAGCGGATGAGACAAGCTACTTAATACCATCCGACTTAGATTCATACAACGAGCTCTACGAAATCTCAGTCGCTATTCGTGGTCGAAAAATACTTGTCGGAATACATCGTCTCAATTTAGTCGTTGTTCTACAGAACAATAACAATTCGCTGAGTATCACTCGTAACCACACAGTTTCGCACGAAGATTCTTCTTCATTTGGTCGCGGAGTGGATTGGGCTGATGAAAAAACAATTGCTGTTTTGGTTTACAGAAGTCCTCACTCAGCATGGTCAAAATCACAGATATTCTTCTATGATGAGAATTCGGTATCGTCGTCTTCGCCACTATACACTTTTCCCAATAATCAACAGATACTTGGCTCTCGTTTGGCCAATCCGTATTTTGCTCGTTTTGTTATCACGGCAGGAAGGAATATGGCCATACTTACACAGGAACGTGCTGATGTTTTAATTATTCCGATTGCTCCATTAGGTTCCGTTTCAGTATGGATTAATACTTCGGCTTTGGTTTACGTCTTCTATTATAAACCTCAATCATGCATTGGTGGTACTTTCAAAAACGTCTCGAATCTGGGTCCCTGTCAAATTTGTCCACCTCACACTCGAAATTCAGGAAATTCATCGAATACACGCCTTGTCTGTATTCCATGTTCCAATAAGTCGACTTCTTTTTGTCCACTAGCATCACTGGCTGATATCGACCAGGATACTGTGCCTTCTTACAGTCAAGCGGTGGCCTATCCTGAGAGCCCTGAGACAACGGATATTGAAGACCTCCTTTTGGAAAACACTTTTAACATTAGATTCGAGTCCCGCTGCTTGGTTATTTCTCCAATCTTTTGGGCATCAATCGTCGGTGGTATTAGTCTTCTCATATGGATCGTGATCTTCATGACCAGAAATTCTACTTGTTGGGGATATGCAAAGCATCGAGAGTTTGCCAAACATTTCTTCAAACATACAGATGTTATTGGAGAAGGCGAAATGTGGGCTGGTGGTTTGGCTACTTTTACTGTCGTTGTTCTTGTTGCATTTTCTTACTGGTTCTTAGCGTCATTCCTACGCAGATATCCGATCGAAGAAGTATCAGAACCAGCCTCATTTTCATGTGATCAATCATTAGCCAATGCAAAGTTCTCTACTGGTCTCGAACTTCTATCTCTTCTGAAATCTCCAGATGCTCAACCAATCTTTACTATGCTTGATGAGCAAACATTCCAGTTGACAATTGAATTAATCAATACTGGATTTATGTGTGATGACATTACGGCACAACAAAATCTGCTTGGAACAAAATATATTCCTTTATTCAGACGATGCACACACTCAAAGTTGAATGCAACAACGTCAGTCACTCTTACTATCCCGAATCATTATGCACATGTGCAAATTAATATGACTGGTCCCCACTGGATTGGTGGGTTTCGCTTGTGTATCTTTGGTGCTGGTCGTAGAAATATGAGTAATACACTACGTGAACTCGATTTTTGCCAATTCTATTCCGATGACAATAAAGCCATCGGTCGTTCAACTTTAATTCCTATCGTCTTCGTTAAAAACATTAATATGACCAAACCACTAAAAACAGCAGATTCCGTGAAGTATTCAGGTCTGTGGATACCGATTTTTGGTAGTGTCACACTCTCCGATGAAGCTTACTATAATGATTTCGGTAACTATTTGCGTTACACTTTGTCACTGACCATTATTGAAATCACTCTGAGTGAGAGTTCGCTCTACATAAAGAATATTCAAGAACCGATCGTTCGAACAGGCCAATTGGTTTTCAATGGATTGCTCTTTACTTTTTTATGTATCGAAATTTTTGCTTTCGCATTTCTTCTCATCAAACTTGTCATATTGCCTCTGCTTCAACAGGCTGAAATTATCTGGAAAAATCACTGCCATTGATAGACTGATGATGTAGTCGCATATGGAACTGTCAAAACAATTGCGTGATGCTTCAAATACTCTTTTATTCATGTTCTTGTTCGTCTATCTTAACACTTACTTTTTTCATCGCAGAAGGAAAAACGAGAGGAGCAAGGTGAGGAAAAGTTGAATGGCTGCCGGTGTTGCCACCTTTTGAAGTTCGAACAGTAGAAAGTATGTTTCTGATGCGAAACGATCTTTTAAGTTGTGACTTAATGAAGTAATGAGAAAATTTCACAGCAATTTCTTATCTTTAGCGTACAAAGTCAAGAAAAAAATCTTGTTAAACATAAAAATTGACTTATTGGATTTCTTGATTTAATAGTTTCCACTAAATTTTGATTGGTTAATATATGTTTCTACAGTCCTTGCAAAAAGTTCTGTAACATCTAATAACAGTTCTCCAGTACATGATGCTTGAGTTGGCTGTAAAAGTAAGCATATATTTGGCATTACTATAAAATAAACTTTCATTTCCTATTGAACAAATGAATTGTGACGATTTGTTACCGACAAAATAGTATAAAACATACAATATCCAGTGGCAAAAAAGTTCTGGAGCTGATTGCGTTATATTCACCCACTCACTTTTCTTCGATTGTAGATAGTAGTAATGAAAAGAACTTGAAAAACTGGTTCTTGCGGAACATGCACGCTTCTGAATTTTTACCAGTGTCATAGTCTTGGTTAGCATTCTTCGCAATAAATTTTCATTTACCTTTTTCGCACCAATCATTTGATGACCATTTCATTTTATCGAATCATTATGGAACATTTGAAATCGATGTAGCATGTGCCCAACATGATATGAATTTAATTTGTAAAATAATGCTTCTTCAATCATGAGATTTTTGACGTCTGACTACCGAATCCATTCAACTATCTGTGATTCTCAGAATGGATCGGAATTCGACAACCGCATTAATTGCGTGCAGACCAACGAATTCTTAGTTTTTGAGATTTATCGGATCATCAAATATCCTTTTGGATGCTTGATATCAGGCAAACAAAGGGCTATGCTAAGCTGATGCACTATTCGCATTGAACATAAACAAGTTTTGAGTCAAATAGTGTAATACATAAAATATTCATTCAAAATGAACACAATGTTTCATGCTTGATTGTAACGAATGTTTGTGTAGTTTTCTAATTCAATAAGATGCATCTGAGTCATCTCTTGATTCATAGGCATATATAATTATGCTCATGCATTACATGTATATATATCTTGCGAAACTTCAATCATTCATCATTTTATGTTATTTACACATTCTCCTCAATAAACTGAAGTACCATTGCAACGTCAAATATTATTGTTTCTATACACTTCATGTGTTTTGTGGTAGAAACATCATTTCGAGTCGCAAAGTTTTCAAAATCCAATGATTTTGGTTATTCGATCATAACCGACAAGCATTCCCAACTCAGTTCTGTGTTAGACATACAACATAAGAAAGGAAAGTTCAAATTCACAATAAAAATCTTATCTTGATATACGAACAGGTTGACAGAATTGATCGGTCGTATTTACAAATTTGTTTCCACCAGTTGTAAGCTCCGATAACGCTACAGTAGATATATCTAGTTAATTTAGGAAGAAGATAAACATTTCTGCTCAAGCGGCTGATTCATTCTAAAGATATAGCCATTGAAAGTATAAGTACTCTCGTAAATTCCAAGTGCTTTATAGGACAATACTTTCCAGTAAATTTCCATTTTCTACAGAACAATCATAGTTATCACAGAGATATTTTTGCTACAGCTACTTTCAGTTCGTAAACTATATTTTCATGATATTAGAAGTCACTTTTTGTCTAATACATTCTAGTTAGTAGCATAGGCAACTTTCAGGGAGTGTGGCTACACGGATAAAGCAAGCTGCTTGAATCAATGTGATGGATATTAGCTTGAGATTTGTCTTATTTGACAGAACACATTAATGACAGCTCTCTATGTCTAGTAAAAGTTTTATCTGATATGGTTTGTGAGTGAATGAAAGTCACCGAGTCTATGTAATAAATGTGTTTCCACAGGTGATTTAAAAGATGGGGGTCTCTTTTAATTTCGCAAACTCTTGCTAGCCATGATAAAAATTAAAATCCTGTTGTTGTTTCTGAAATTAGTTTGAAATAGAAAACGCCATAGACTTGTTATATACTCGCATATTCGAACTCGTCGTGATTGAATTCTTGACGTATTTGTTCCTAAAGTAACTCATTCCTTAAGAATTTCATTTTCATATTGATATAACTATATTTAGAGAGCCCATAGATAAAGAGATAAATGTTCTATACAAAAGTCGAAGAGGCTATTAAATTTATAAAAATTTGTTCTGCTATATAGCGTAGGCATTTTGTTATCGCATGGTTCAGTTTTTGCTTGCTGTTTAATGGACATGTAAAATTCTTCTAATTAAGATAAAGTTTCCTTTTCTTTTACAGTTGAGTAATAATTATACGCTTCTTGATCTTGATTTCATGTCATTTTATATAATCATAATATTTATACATTAACAATAGATGTTTTTCTTTCTTATCTTATACATTTTATTTTTATTTTTTAATCTAAAAATGAAATTCATGAATTTCTTCAAGGAGCTTTTTAAAACTCGTAACAAGTGAGGCAAGAATTTGTTCACCTTTATCTTGTGTTGCTCCAGTAGGATCCCCAATCACACCAGATCGACTTAAATCCTTGGTTACCCATGCATAGGCCAGACCACCTTCGATACCCAACAAATTTCTTTCAGATATGAGGGTCGATGGATACTCTTTTTCTGCTAGATTCATTCTAACATACTTTCTGAGAATCGTGAGCATCAGACTCGTTTCTATGTCACCGGCATGTATACCATATTTGAATTCATGTGGTGTGACCAATGTCTGCCCGACATTGGGTAAGTGCCACACAAAGATAGGAAAGAGTATAAAATCTGAAAAGCGTTGTCGTAGATCACGTGCCACAGTTTCCATTATTTGTGGTTGGCCACCATGTGAATTAAAAAAAATAAGTTTTCGAAAGCCACTTCGATACACACTCTCACCAATATCCATGAGTAAATTTGTCAAAGTTGTAGCACTCAAGCTGATTGTGCCTGGAAATGATATATGTTCAGTGGAACGACCTGCATGTTGAGGTGGAAGAACATAGACAACAGGCTTGTCTTCTGGCGAAAACTGTTCGAGTGTTTTCCCGATGACTTGCAAGCCAATAGCAGCATCAGTTATCAAAGGTAAATGAGCACCGTGTTGTTCAATAGCACCTATTGACTGAATGAGTATGACATTGGCCTTATTAGGCATTTTATCAATATCATGCCATGTCAAATATGAATAATATCGCTCCGCGGGTATTGGGGCATGAAACATTTCTTTATCTAGAACATAATGAAATGAAGAAAAAAAATCTATAATAATAGCCAACTTTCTCCTAATTTATGTGTTCATTTGATGGGTTCAAATGTAAAATTTCGTATTATGATTGAAATAAATATCGTGCTAACCACATAATCCACTGACAATACGAGCATGTGCTGGGATTGGTGAGCATCCGTATAGATAGCAAATATTTCAGCTAGCTAAAAATTGGGATATCGATGTTGAAGAACTCGACACGAAGTCGATCTGTCTTGTGACCTTCTCTAGTTTAATAAGATCTAATGAATACGTCGATCATTCGATGAAATCGAACAGTTTGATCAGACCGGTATTTCGGTAGGTGAACACGGACCAAGTTCCTGCAGAATCACTCACCGCAGATAGCCTTCAGTCAAATTTTATAAGAAAAATTTTATTTTCTTGGTATAGAATTCTCCTGGCCAAAATATGCCAGCCAAAATTTTTAACAAATGAATTATTACCATCACAATGAGTATCCATAACTGACGAAATAGTGTTATTGTGAATGAACTTAGTAGTGGACGCAAAGATAGGTATCTTAATAGTAAGTTTAATATATTACTTTAAACACTCACCTTGAGAATCAAATCTGTCTTAATTGGTAGATTCTATGAGATAAATGGATTACAAAATAATTCAAAATTCATATGATGTCTTAGAGAAATTTTCAATTGGGTTTGTCTTAGAGTTTCCGATATGATTTCATAAATATTTTACTAAATATTCATATTCAAATTTCTCTTACGACGTCTGTTAAATCGTCTATAATTTTCTACCAGAATCCATCAGAGTTCCACAGTGAATTGTTAACTAACCATTTTTTTTCTTTGTTACTGTGATTGACTAAACAACATTGAATGTGAGTCTGTTTTCAGTAAAATATATATATTTTGCTTTATTTACCTATCGAACTGAACTAAAATCATTACATAACCATATATATTGTATATTTCAATATCTCTTTTAACTACTAGTAAACTAGCAGTGAACACGGGATAAAAGATATGGCAGGTGAATCATTAAGAATGACTCTCTCAGTTGTTGAAGCTTTGACTAGAACGTTTTCTCAAAAGATAGCTCCTACAATTCTCTACAAAATTCAATTAAATGAATTTTTCAAAAGAATAATTAGAAAACTAAATCCTATAAGCGATACTGTATTTCATCGAGGCCCACTTGAAATACGTTTTTTTTTAAATTGACTATTTCTCTTCTTGTGACTAAGCAGTTTTCCGACCATGCCAAAGCAAGGCTCCTATGCTTGAAAGTGTGCTCTTTTAATAGAGCTCAAAAAAGACCTTCAAATTAGCTTGTGAAGTTCTTGTGGCTCATATTCTTGAAGAAAATTTACTAATATCTATCGAAAGAAGTACAAAATATCTCATGCGAGATTGTAAAAAAAACCGGGAGAAGACTTAATATTTGAGGAAAATAGGATATTGTTTCGGTTACCTTAATAGGAGTGCTTGAAATGAATGTACAATGTTATAAACTTTAAAAGTTACTAATGAGTAGTGGCCAACCCCAATCAATTGCTATCTCTTTTTCTCCCGCGATTGGATTTTTTTGTTTCATTTTAAGAACATAGTTAAGGTAATGTGTTGTTATGTAGTGCAAGTATTTATATTTTCATCACACAATGAATCTATACTCGTAACTCAAAATATAATATGAAAAAAACAAACCTTGGGGAATGCTTACATCTGTCACACAAGCACGTAGAAAGGTAAAGAAACAAAATAGATAAGAAATCGGCGATATTTTTCAAGGTTGATGATATTTTTATTGACAGTAATTACATTTTATGCTTAAATTGATGAATTTATTGAAATTATCAATATAGCTTAATACAAGCATTATTTTCTACTATTCATATTTGAAACCATGTTTCTTATACTTTCTCACTGAATAATAATACGTCAATTAATTGTATTACAGAACAAAGATAAGCTATATTTACTTTTGAATATAGCATGCAAATGTAAGTTATCTCAGTTCCTAATGAACAGAGTATGTTTTAAAGGTAGACTATCTAACGACGTAATGTTTAACGCTTTCATTCACCAATGGTGCAGTGATCTATACATTTAAATTATCAATGAACTTCAACAGATTTTACGCAATAATTTCTATTGATCTAAAAATTGAAATTTTAATACTGAACAAGATGTACTGTTTCTTTCTTTTTTCAAGAAATTCTCCCAAAAGCACTTTGAAGCGAATTTTTTTTAATAGTCAATCTGAATCATAGAGTCTTCCGTCATTGTGCTGTTATGATTTGGGGCCTATCATTCTTCTTCTTTTTTTAAACTCTGTAATGTCGAGATAAGCTTTATTAGTATTATTATACTTTTTAATATTTTTGCTTTTATAGACAAATAAATGGAATGACCGAATGTAGACGAAAAGAGATAAGTTAAGTATATCAAATATTCTTGTTAAGAAATTTCATAACGTGTTCAATATTTCATCTCAAATGCACGAAGCATTCATGAATTTATAATTCATCTTTTGTCGACAGTGTCTTTACATCCATAGCTTGTATGGACATAGCCTTGTCAATGATGCTTCTTATAAAAACAGAGAATTGTCAGTGAAAAGAATATAATATCTTTGATTCTTATTTTGACTTAACTCAAAATAAATTGTAACCTTTTTTTTTATTTCTCTATTGAGGTGAATTGTATAAAGTAGCGATAGAGAGAGACGCATCGATTATTTATAAGACAAATGAAACGAGGGTACGGATGTGTGAGACTTATCTTTAGTAGCACGCACATCCAATAAATCAAGTTTTTGTTTCTTCGTTCCTTCTTGGTTCAACATAGTCTCGAAAACGCGTCATACATGGTTGATGAATAATTCTTGTAAATTTGTATTAGATGCTTTTCCATGTATGCACTCGTTTTCTATTTTTGCGGTTAATTGCATAATAATAATCCAGTGCTCATTTTATGTATGGCAGAGAGAATGAGCGAAGCGCTGGTTTCTGTTCATCTTGTTTTTCATAATGTTGATCATGAAATTGTTCATCAGGATCTTCCTCACATTCATCGAGTTCACCGTTTGATGTATTGTGATCCAGAGTCGTTTCGTCCTCTTGATTATATGAATTACTTGTGCATATTGACTCAAATATATTGAACGATTGATCAGCAACTTCTTTCTTTTGAAATAAAGTATGGAATGATCGATCTGAAAGGTTTTCTGATGCACATTCTCAGAGCAATTGCGTTAATAGATTTATGTTAATCATTGTCTGTTCTTTAGATTATAATAAACTGCAATATCTTCATTTTCACATTCTCCAGCGATTGTTTTTTCTGTATCTTCTATTCGCTGCATCGCTTCAGGCATGTCACAATAATGTGAACAGCTGATATATTCAACATACGCGTATTTACAAAAGTTTATTTTCAGATCGATGTAAACAGGAAAGCACAAGTTTAAGTTTTTAGGATAAATAGTGTCTTAACTCGATAACAGTCTCAAAAATCTGCTCAAATGAATCATTTGTCATCAAATAGTGAAACACGAAAAGCTAAAAAGTTGAATACTCCTAACTCTTGCTAGAGGCAACTTGGGCCCGAACCAACTTAGGGTACGTGAGAGGATTCTTCGGGTTACGACCGCTATTATTGGCAAATGAAGTTTTTGAGGTTACAGATGTAGAGTTTGATGACTAGGAGTTGTTGAATATGAGGAGGGAAAGAAAGAGAAGAGAAAGAGGTATGTACAAGTATATATGTATGTAAAAGTGCATCAGAGATGTAAGAATATGTCCGATCATTATTAATGCATAAGAAAGAATGATTGCAGTGCATGTCGCGTAATATTTTACTCTTTATTATTTAAAATTTTCTTTTCTGTTGGTTTGCTTTTTTTTTTGCATTCTGTGACTGTGAATTTAGAATAAATATACTACTTTCTATATTATTTCTTTTTTCATTCTTTTTTTGCATTTGATGACCTTGATCAAAGACTTGGTTTATTGTATCATTTAGTGTACTTCGACCATCAGAATTAATTAACGGACGTATCTTCTTATGGTTTCTGTTTTTAACAACTTGAAAAGTGTTATTTTCGATTTCTCATATATAATATATATCATATTCATTGCCATCATATCGTCGTTTAGAAGTTAGTACAACATTATCAAGACAACAGTGATGTTGGTTTTTTTTTGTATATTCTTCACATAATTTTCTAGTTTCACTTCCGTCCATTATCTTATCTTTTTCTGTTGTTGAGAGTGTGGGTGCGGGTGTGGGTGTGACTGTCGATGCCAATGTTTCTCTCCATATCCACCCACACCCACACTCACATATTTAGTAGTTTTTTCCTCTCTTCGAATTGAACAATAAACGAGTATTAAAAGCAAATCGTGTTATTAAAGATGAAAAATCAACCAGTCTTCACACTATTTTTTTTATTGTTACGTGTAAGACAATAAATTCAAGTTTACTATGAAAAAATCATCAAAAACGTAGAATGATATTAGCGTCATCTGTTCAACTGTCTCGATGCGATTATTGTTCTGTAGTGATGCTGGAGATAGATGCTCTCTCTACGCCGTCAGGTTCATCATGAAAGTTGACGTGACATGAAAAAAACTGCATGATAATTAAAGTATCACAAAGACACGCAGCTATGAGTTCAGAAGCATCAGTAATATACTCTAATAAGTGTTGTGAGAAACGAAAATACAGCCATTCACATGTCACAGATATAGTCACAGCGATTACAAACAAATACAGAACCGATTTGATTCGGCTATTTCGAAAACGTTCATATGTCTCTGAAAAAAAGTCGAATAAGAGGAAAAAAGCGATATTGTCTCGAGTTATTGTCGTAAATTCTTGATTAATAAAGATAGGAATGAATATAGCAAGAATAATTTCTAGTCGAGAGATGAAATGAAAAATGTGTTTGTTTTCTACTACAATATGATGTTGAAGTTTTCGATATAC